ATTAACAGACTTAAAGCACACTGTTAGGTTTGTCTGAAAGGTTAGGTTAAATAAACTTCAGTCACGATATTAAGAAATGACAACTTAATATATTACTTTCTTCTAAATGTAGATGGAAGCTCACGCTATCTTCATGCAACTAACATAAAAAGGCTGGGAAAGGCGTTGCTGTACCCTGGGGTAGGGTAAGATACAGGAAACAGAGGACTGAATTCTAAGGTATTTAATTAAACTGATGCTCAAGCACAGTATGACAGAAAATACCTTCTGACACAGAAGCCTCACTTGAGTATTCTCCTTTTGTTATTATTACTAGATATTGTAATTATTCATAATTTGAAAATAATAATATCTAATAATAAGATTAAAAAAGGACCTTGGATAATTCTCTGAGTTTTCAAGGTAAAAATATCAAAGGAACCACATCAAGTTTTGATTATAGATTTAATGGGAGTTTATTGGTAAGAGCAGCTGAAAATCCAGCTCTTTGTTTAAAAAGCAAACCTTAACAATTTAGTCAGCTGTCTGCCAGTTAAACACGCAGTGACCCATTGTGAATGCTGTAACAGGCTTTTTGATGGTTCAACAAAAACAGTGAAGAGGTAGTGCCCTTACTAAGAGGAGTCCAAGGACTGATAGCTGGGGATGACCTCAAACTTCTGATACGATAAAATATTAGAAAAGTATGAACACACGATCAAGAGTAAGGGTGAACAGGAAGAACTGCGTGGGTACAAACTAAGAAAAGATGAAACTTGCACTAATTGTACCCTGCAGACAGAACACTATAGGAAGTTTTACAATTAACTGTGGCTGCAGATGAAAGCAAACAGCTTAGGATCTTTGGCTACAGCTGAAGAAATTCTTCCCTCTGTCCCCTTCTTCAACCATACATGAAAGAAGTTTTGACATAGCAAAGTATCAGATTATTAAGGCAGCTAAATGTAAGCAATACATGCAGCCCATGAAAGTGTTAGCAGAAAGTAGTACCTCCTTCACCCCAGGAAGCAGCAGAAATTTCCAGTGGTATAAAGTTGTAATTACTTGTATACAGAGAACACAGCGCTGCTGTTGTTCACTGTTAACCTTTTTCCTCTGTTCCATTTCCTTCTTTAGGTTCATTGCATTGCACTGTTATTTTGAGTTAAGAGTATCACATACTTGACTCTGGCAATCAGGTGAGAGTGGTGACACTGTGAGGGCTAGTCCAAGCCATCCCTCAAGGACCACAATACACACTGTTCCAGTAGCAACCTAAGTGAAGATACTTGGTTTTTGTGTGCTGTACCATTCTGAGGCCATCTTTTAAAAAAACATTGCGGTGTATTTTAGAAAACTCCCCCTTTTATCCCTATTTTAGTCAGACTGGTGAAAGACAATGTTTGATTGTTAAGTTACTAAAGCAAATTGCTTACACCTCTTGTCTGCATCCCAAGGGCAGACCAAGATGAATTTCACTCTGAACTGTATCCAGTCATGTTCACTTAGTTTGGCTTGAAATACAGGAGTCGGATGATTTGGGCTCTAATGTTCAGTCTCTAGAAGGGCAGTGGGCTTTTTTTCTCTCCTTAGCTCCTGGTTCCCCTGTCTGGATTGGCAAAGCAGGACAGTTGCCATCTGCCCTTAAATTCCTACACTGGAAAACTTTCTCTAAGCATAAATTTATTTTCGTATTTAGCACCTTTCCCACTTTCTTGCTAATCAAAACACAAGTATAGAGAGATTGAATAAAAGAGTTTATTCAAATCAATTATATCTCTTATAGACCAGCATTTAGCAATGAGACAACTACTTCCACAGATTATTTGACTTCTTTCCTAAATAAGACTGAGAATGTGGGCAGTATGATTGCTTCAAGCAGCATATAAGGAACCGGGGAGCAAAACTTCCAAAGCTGCTATTGCAAACAGTGAAAGCTAGAACTGTAGGAATCCAGCAGTGTCACAAAGTGATGTGAACATGAGGCACAGTGCCATGTCATCTGTGTAGGAAGTGTCATTCGTCAGAATAGGTGCCATATCTTTACTGCACTGGGGCAGAGTAGTGAACATAAACCAAAAAGTAGCATTTTCCCTAGACCTATGGCAGCAGAAGATGAAAGACAAAACTGAACCTGAACCTAGTCTAGTGCAAGCAATGGCTTCTTCTATTTGGCTACCAGTCGTTCATCCCTCTCTGACACTTTTTCTTTTACAAGCTGTCAGCAACCCCATAGAAACAGACCACTCATCTACCAAAATCCTCAGATCTAATCTCCATCACTAAATTTTTCCTTCTGCTGTTCTGGTTCTGAATCCTAAATCTGAGCCTCCCAGGCCTTCTGACTGGACAGCCGCAGGGTGATTTTTCATGTAGATCTGTAAAGCAAAGAAACTATACATTATTTTTCTGCCCTATGAAGGTATGTAACTTTTTCTCTTTTGAAAGGAAAACTATTTTTCCTGCAAGTTTCTGCAGCAATGTCAAGGAGTAAACTGCATCCTTTATCTCAGGTCTTTTGTTTTTTTCCCCCCTAAACAAAATGTTTTACTCTGTAGGTACTAATTTCCTGGTTTATAACATATTCATAATCAGTGCTTTACATTAATCAGGTTTTAATATGTCTGAGGAGTTTGAGAATGTATGAGGAAAAGTGAGAACTTGAAACAGAATAGCACTAGTTTTAGTATGACTTTTATATCTGTTTCACATTATGAGAGCATTGGAATATGTTAATTTACTTGATATTCTTCAGCTGGGATGCTTTTTCAGGCATCTAGAAGATATGCTTTAAGACCTGAACCTCTCTTATTATATCCTGAAAAAGAAGCAGATGAAAGACTGTCAGAGAATGGCTGCCTACAGCAGTGTGTCTGAGAAGCTGGGGTTCCTAGAAATGTGAAAATATCATCTACTTTTTCAATTCTCTTCTGTCATTCCCCAAACTGAAAATACAGTTTGGATAAACACAAGCAGAATGGTGACCCAGATGCAGAGTATTCCAACTAAGGATTATTTCTTTCCAAATGTGTGCAATACAAAACTTACCAACAGACCCTGTAACTACATGGTTATTAAGTTATAAGTTGTTTGTGTGCATACACTCATACAACTTACAACTGTCCATACATGTCATATACATATATATTTAATATATATATATGTATCAGGCTGGCTTTCACACATGCATTTCTCTGTTGTAAAAAGAGTAATACAGAAAGGAGTAGGGGAGAGTTGTTTTTTTCTCCTGTTTGAAATGTGTCTTGCACCCACAGGAATGTCAAGGTACAGAATAGGAGTGCAACGTAGATATGGTAGCTGCCATACCAAATTGTGACTAGAGAGGTATGTGGAGGGCAGAGGGAGTTAAGAGGAACAGACAGATTAGGAGTGGATCATGATTTGAGAGATTAATGGTGATCTCCAATGGCCAGTTAGAGACAGATGCAGCAGCAGCTGAAACCCATCTTCTGATGGCAGAAGGACAGTTTAAAAATCAAAGCTGAAAGGGTGAAAATGGTAGTTTCCACACCTAGAAGTAGAGCTACTGCCAGTGCTCTACTGCCATCCACCACATAATATGCCAAAGCAGTGGTAGCTTCTACCCACGCCACCATCCTTTCCTTGCCCAATTATATCTCATGATAATGAACCTGGACTCTCACCTTGATGCTAGCCAATGCTACTGTGCTCCGTCTTCCCTGTCTTCACTTCCAGGGTCCTGGGCACATCCAGAAGGATTTTAGCTCTCAGTATTTCAGTTTCACCTCACCCATTCCCCTCAGAGTTTCACCTTCCTAAAGGCAGGAATAGCCCAAGTCCATAGTCCTCCACTAAAATTCCTTGATTTGTCCAAGAATTAGATAAATGTAGAAACTCTTCACAGGATAGGCTAGTTCAGCTAATGCACTGGTGTAAAGGTTTCTCCAGGGGTTTGTTAGGTTAAGAAAAATGCTGTTGGTATAGCAGTGTGTGCAAGCAGAGTTTGAAGCTCTGAACTGTACCCTGATTTTAATCTCATCAGAATGTGAATTCATAGCACAGCCCTGCCTGCATCTGAAACTATGCAGGCAGAGCCTGGCAACCACACAGCCTCACAGAAGTCAGAGAAGTGTATACACTGAAGTATGTCAGCAATTATTCAGTCACAGGTATTTGCAAAATTTGTGAGTATTTTTTCTGGTTTTCCTCAGACACAAGCATACCTCACACTAGACATATCTTGAGCATAAAATTATGCAGTAAAGGTAATTTTTCATGCATTAGTTTTCTTCATGAATTTATATTTCTTTCTTTTCTTCCACATGTGTACAGCTTGTGATCAAAAACCTGTAAAGGAAGCTTATTTCTTCTTATTATATTTCTGTATGATAATATATTCTTAGAAAGGAGAACAGAAAAAACATAAATACTATTAATAAATATGGTGCATAATTAAGGATGAAAGTAGCAACCAAAAACCTACATGGAAATGTGCAGATCAGCAAAAAATTATAAGTAACGGGTTTTTTTTGTCTTTTATGCTTTAACTTAGGAATCTCAACATCTTTGTTTCAATATACTAAAAAGTAATTTCCCTTTGAAAGTAACAAAAAAAATGAAATAATATTGTATTTACTACTTTGACATTATCTGCTTATTTTCAGTACTGTACAAACATGCATAAAAATGTAAAACCAGAACTGTTACAGAAATTTATTCAAATTGATAGATTAGACTAAAATAAACAGTCTTAAGGATGTGCAATGAATGTAATGGGTCTTGTGTCTATCTATGTTGTGCATACATATGTATTAGAAGTATTTGTGTGTATAAACATGTACATACAAACTTTGCAATATGGAACATTACACAAAACCTATTTCCTCTAATGCTTAATGATATGGATGTCCAGTGAGATGCACAACACAACACATATGATTACAAGATATGCTTCTGCCTTTGTAAGTTAAAAAACTGCTTTGTGATAAAGGAAATATGAAAAAAAATATATTGATAACTATAAAACTTATTTACTCTTTAATTATTAGAACACTTTATTGAATTCTACAAAAGAAAAATATAAAAGCAAGCTTACCTGTATGAATATTCCTGAATTATTTTTGAAATAAACTGAGTAGTACATTATATTTCCATTAGGCTTTTGAGGAGGAGACCAGAATAGCATTATGGATGTGGAAGTAAGGTTTCTGTACACAACATCTTTCGGTGGATCACTTGGTGCTGGAAAAATGTTAAGTTTTAGCATACCTAACTCAAGGTTTTGTTCATTTTAGTGGCCAAGAAACATCCACTATAGATTTGACAACATCCTATGTCAAATCAAATATATTTCTGATTATAGTATAAAAACTGCTTCTGGAAATTATGAAATAAAATAGTAGATGTAAATAAATTTTTTTAACTCCGTTTTTTTCAGACACATTTGTATTCAGCTGCATTTGTAAACAGATACTCTTTTCTTATAGAATTTGTCCTGTACTTACTGCTCTGGGCACAGGGAAAGTCTAATCTGCAGACATGGAAGCTGACTTCCACGTTAGGAAGTTAGGCCTCTATGCTCCACATACAGTTAATAGAAAATAAAAAGGATTTGTTTCAGAAAACCTAAATTAAAATCCTTGTTCTCTCTTTGCTGATTATAAACAGAATTTAGGCTCCCAACTCATGTAGGTAAACCAGATACTTAAGCTTGGACAGTATGATCACTTCTGTTTTCTCTTTTTCAATTAGCCTCTCCTCCTATCCTGTAAAGAACAGCAGGATACGGTCCTTCTCAGTAACACAGTGATGGAGGAGACTCAAACTCAGTTCCTCAAGTCAGCTTAAGAGAATTTAAATCCATATTTCTCACCATCCATGAAAGTGCTCTACACAACATGCAGTACAGTACTGAACACTGAACGTTATCTTATATCTCTTGCTTTGGGCTGTTCTAGTTTGTATAAAATACTAAAATATTTACTGGAGGGGGAGCCCCAGGATCAGTTCCTAAAAATCCTGCCCTAAAAACTCAGTTCATGTTTCCATAACAGCTCCAGTAGCAAAGACTGGCAATACCTATAACCCAATGATTTAGACAGTATTTGAGGGATGGCTTGGATAGACTCTAATCCTGCCAGTGCCTGTGTGTTGCGAAGTCAGTTTATCTATGCAGGGTGATTCTGAAATATGCCTGCATACTATCCATTTTGGAATAGATCATAGCAATATAATTGATGGGAAAACTAGAAAAATAAACTGAATTACTTTCAAAGCACAGTGTATAGTATGACCATTTATAAAAGACATCTACCTGTCTACCATGTTGGATGTATAAAGTCATTAAAATAGAATAAACAAATCAGTGTACACTTACAGATTTCATTTTCAAATTAAGACCACTTCAGACTTGTGAGAGATACTATTTTTGCTATTCAAAGTTGTGTCACAGCAAGATAAAGGAAAGAGCTACTAAAATATATTATAAAATTAATTTGATTTATTCAAAATCTAAAATTAAATTATTTTAATCTTACCTGTCTTGAAGGGAAATACAGAGTTTTGCTCAGTAAATTTACAGAAATACCCATCATAACTTTATAGAGCCAAAGATATGTGTACGCACAAAGACAGGAACACACACACACACACACACACAGATAGAATATCCCTTCTTGACCAGCTAAATGGCACTTCCACTTCAGTAGCTTTATTAACTTATATAAGGCTGACAAATTTAAGGCTGAATGAAATTAAAGACTCATACTATATATAAGCTTACCTCCTTCAGAAGTTCTGAATGTTATAGTATCACTTTTTATGTTGCCATCTCCAAATCTTGTACTTGCTGTTAGGTAAGCACTATACTCATAGTTATATTCCAGGTCTGTGAACTGCAATGATGTTTCTGTTACATTAACAGTCCTTTTTGACATTTTATTCCTGGAGAAAGAGTATTTTATTATTTATAAATACACACCATTTCTGTATGTATACAACTATGGCATATGACATAAAATTGAGAAATGCAATATTGTGGTAAATACAAACATTTTAGGCTTTCAAAAAAGACTGGGATAACTTTTTTCTTTTATGCTGAAAAACTCCTTTTGGTACTGTTGCATCACAGTAGGGCTCTTAATTTTGCTTTAAAAACAAAAACAAACCCCGCAGAAATTTATTTGTAAATTACATCAGCAAAGATAATGATTATATGGACTATCAAGGGGGAGCATGTCTAGTAACTGCTATGAAATGGTTATGTGGTACCCTTGGGAAGGACACAGTAGGGCATAACTAAACTGTTTCCCTGGACAGGAATAGCGAAATATAAAAAGATTATAGCAGGGAGCATGCCCTACTGTGACTCTGTGAAATTGGTCAGAAGGCTGAAGTTATAAATGGAATAATAGAAGATGATATGGAACAGGAATTAGCTGGTGCTGAGTTAATTCTGGTGGAATGTAGCAGGGGATCAGAATGGAACTCTAGTCAGGTCAAAACCCGCCTAGAAAGACTGTAAGATGTAACATTAATAAAACACTGGTATTAACATAGGTATGAAACGATTATCAGAAAGTAAAATAAGATACAGAAATAACTAACTTGATTTCAAAAAGTCTGCTATTCTTCATTAAATTAACTTAATCTTTTATGAAAAAAATAGCAGAAAAAAAAAAAAAGCTAGCTAATGTTCCATTCCTGCAAAGATTTCTGTATGAGTGGGTGCCCTGTGTCTTTAATGGGATTACATACAGGGATGATAATTTGACAAGTAAAATTGAATATCGTTCTTCAGAAGTCACTGTGGAGCTCTTCACAAAAAAGAGAATAAGCTCTAATTCTTAAAAAAGAAAGGGAAAGGCTGATTTAAAATTATTACATGGGCTGATTTTCATCCTTTGATAAATGAATGAATGAATGTCCCATTAGCAAAGATCACTATCTGATGCTCCTGAAATAAAGTTACATTAACAAACAATTGGAATGAGAAAATGTATGAGAATGAAAAAACTAAATTCTCCCTATCTCTTTCAGATTTTGAGTGGAACGTCTCTTGACGTGGGAAATGGTCTTAGTGACAGAGAAAGTTAAGAAGATTTACATTTTTCCCAAACTTCTGACATTTTGAACAGTCAGTAAAGAGATAATAAAAGGTTGCAGCTGCAGTTATCAAATTCTATACAAAGAAAAGACATCTTTTCTTGGATCTTTGCCCAATATATTCTTAGTATGGAAAAATGTAGCTGGCTATAATTTAAGTAATAAGAAAATCCACAGCTTAGTGCTGCAAACATTTCTGCTCTGAGTAATTGCATTCTTATAACATCTTATTTGCCAGGAAAACATTTCCACAATCAGGCATAGTTAGGTAGAAGAACAAAAGCTTGGGGTGTTTTAAGAAAAGCTGATTTTCTGTTTAGAAACAACTGAGATTGCAATCAAAATAATAAGAAAACACTGATCAAAATGAGTGCAGACTTCACAGACAATGAGAAAAAAAGTACATAGCAAAATAAACTAAGCCAAGGAATTTTAATGAAGAACAATCACCTTAAGATTTAAATGAGGTCTTTCAGAAACCCAGACAAAAGAGGTTCTAAGAAATTGCATACTTTCATTGGACAAAGACAGGTACAGTATTTTCTTGAAAATCTGTACCTCAAAGTAGGTCTAGTCAGTGACTATCTCACAAAAATCTGATGAACAAGATAATGCCAAAAAAAAATAGCTATATACAAGTTCAGCAATTTTGTTATTATGCCTTTAATATTCTAGAATTGCAGACTCGGTGAATATGAGTTTGTAGACTCAAGGCACGCACAAAAGTTACTTTGCTACCTGCTACCACACCAAAACACCTTGTCCTGTGACAAATTCAGTGAGAGATAATAATGAAAACATTACCGATATCACACTTTCTGTTGTAGTAGTTGTGGATTCTTGTTCCCAATCCATTAAAGAAAGGTTACCAAATTCTCAATAACTGTTGCAGTATATTTAGGAGAAGGAACATTTATTTAACATCTGTATTAACCTTCCTCTTTCTGCTTTATTCAGAAGCTCTGGGATTAACAAACTCCTCCAAAATACACTGAATGCCTCCCAAAAGCAGCAACTATGGCATGGCAGTTTGCCTTGTCAAATCTTACCCTGCAATGCATTTTATTAAATTGTATAGACAATTCTGTTAAATACTTAAAATTCCCCTCCTTCCCTCCTCCTCCCTCACAAAAAAAAAAAAAAAAACACAAAAAAACCAAAAAAAAACAACCTCCAAGGAAAGGGTGAAGTTGTGGCACCTTTGAAGGCAACGGGAGTTTTTCTCCAGTGTCCTTGCCTCAAGATGATACCTAATGCCTCTCTAATTTTAGATATGGCACAGTAAGAACAGATAAGACAGAGCAAGGAGAATATGGAAGGAAAAAGGACAAGGCTTACTGCAAAAAGTTATGTGGTTGATTAATTCAAATCTTTAGAAAGATGGATCAATTAACAGCTTAAAAAAAATTCTCACTAACTCATTTGTCATAATAACAAAAGCTTTAAGCCAATACAAGGATGAAAAGTTGTATAACCTCGAGCCTTTGAACATAGCCTGTATCAAAACCATAATCCTTATTGTGAAGTAACTCTTTCCTAGCTAGAGGATAGTCTTTAATTTAATGTTTTTTTGTTGTTAAAGAGCACCAGACCTTGACAATACAGTAGAAGTAACAAGACAAGCCAAATGTAACTTTTCCGGAAAGAGCAGCTCACTCCTGTTCACTTTATCACCAATTTAACTAGAGGCTATAATTTAAAAAAAAATTCTGTAGGAACTGAGGCCAAACCCTACCCTGAAAGCTTTAAAATTTGAAAGCTGTCAAATAACATTAAAATAATAAATGTAATAAATGTAAGCTCAATGGTAGTGTGCTTGTAACAACTGCTGATTTGCACATCTGGTTCACATCTCCTAAGTTGCACATTACCACTTGCTTCCTGCACCTTAGGAGTGGCAATAAAATGGTACAGCATAAATGTAATATATTAAAAGTGATCAATAACAAAATCTTTTACTCCCTGTAGGAGTTATACATAGATCTTTGAAGAGATGTCATATCACTAGACCAAACTATGTTATGCAGAGAATAGGACAGAAGGTGCAAGTTTTAAAGTGAAAAAAACTCCTTTTTAAAAGTGAAAAAGGATCCCAGGAGGGATGACCAAAAATTTAAAAAAAAAAAAAAAAGAGAAAAAGAAAGGATAGATAGGAAAAAAACCCCCAGTACAGTAAATTAAAAATATATGTTAAAAATACTCATTTGCTATGAATAGAATACATTAAAAATATAACAGAAGATATAACTGATAGCACATACAAAGACTTTTAACATTGCTCTTATACACTTGCCACAAAAGGAAGCAATATTTCTCTATTTTAAGCCTATTTCAAATCTCTTTGACAATTTATCATAGGCTTGTGCCCTGCCTTACAATGGGCCTAATCAGAATGTAATGACAATAGTCACTCCGCTCTAATTTAAATTTGAACCTATTTACCATAACATAATCTTTAGGAAAAATGTTGAAAATGCTTACAAAATATTTAATACCCCAATTTTCAGCTACTACATTATATCTGAATTTGTACATACAAAAGGCTAGTATTTAAGTGTTGGATGAATATTCATTCTCCAGAAACATGTAATCAACAGATTGTGTAAGAAAAACCGAACATTCCTCATAGGTTACAGATTAATATTTATCCTCAGAACTACTTCCAGAAAATCTTACCAGACGTAAACTGTGTAATAGAGGATAATTCCGTTTGGCTCCAGTGGAGGTTTCCATGACAACTTCACAGTGACACCCAACAACTGTTTTACAGAGAGGGATTCTGGAGGAGAACTCGGAGCTACAAAATGAGAGAACAGGACACAACACCTTGTTAAACAGCTAAGATCGATGGGATACGCAGCATCCTTAAATAGGTTTTTAATTATTTGGGATGGAAAGTGAACTTTGTACTACACCAGTACAGTATCCATCAACTCATGTTAAGGCGCAGCTTCTTTTCCTTTTTCTGACAGATGATAAAAGAAGATTTTGCATGGTGGTGTTAGAACATCTGTTTCTGTGATTCAATGGAAAAAGTACTTCATGAGAAAACAGAGCAACGGGTAGGTCACAGTGATTCACCTACCATACATTGCTGTAATTTTTTTTTCCTCTTCTAATAAAAGCAAGAGCTTTATAGGTATGAACACATGTAAAATAGAGCAAAATAGTCCCCTGAGGAAAAAGAGGTGCTGTAAAGAATTATACAAAGAAAAAAAAGGATAAGCATGGCATTGAGAGATGATAAAAATGTGAGATACTAGCCAGCAGTAGAATCTATTCACTCCATCAAATAAGTCCCACATTCATAAATTTAACATGTCACAAGGGCAAATATAAAGACAGGCAATGACTGAGACCCTTAAAATTCATTTTAAGATGAACTCTACATGACACCATATCACAACTGCATAGGAAAATAACATAACTAAATGGAAATGTAAGACCATGTTTGATTTCATTCTGAAGTTCATATAAATATTGCTGAGGAAAAATATACCCACGTATGCATAAGTGATACTGCTTTGCATTAGCACGTTATTGAGAAAATAAATATTTTTCTTCATCGTGATTCACGGATATATGTACCACTATGAAGTAATATTAGAATTACTTTTGTTTTTCTCAAATTAAACCAAAGAGCATCATGCACTAAAAATTCAGGTCATAGCTGTAGTCATGCATGAAAATTGAGAATATGAGCATAGCTATTAGCAAATCTATGAAACATTTGGTCTGAACCTTGGAACACTGTGTTCCTGTGAATAAAGAACATGTGGTACATTATAAATATTGTTGTTTTTCAGTTGTTCTTTCTTTCACTATCTCAAAAGTTGGCATAAAGGTTTTAGAATGCTCTAGGTTTAAGAAAAAAAAAATATTTTTAATGAACAAAGGTTCACTGAATTCAGTGAATGCCTGTATTTACTAGCAAAAAATGGTGACAGCTGTATTTAGTTCTTGTTATATTATCCTCAGTGGCTACATAATAAAAGATCTGTCATACTGTGAATGTCATGTCTTTTTGGCATGTCTAGTTCATTCTACACTTCTTATTCAAAGGATTTTTTAGATTAGAATCTACACTGCTCTAAATAAAACTACACTGCTCTAAATAAAAATACTCTATGCAAAAGACAGATTTATCCAAATTATCTGTTCCTAGTGTGCTGCAGCAACATTACTCTTGAACAAAGGTTTATTACTGACAGTGTGGATGCAAGCCCATCAACATCCGGGAGATTTGCAATGATCCATTATCATCAAAAACTGGAGGTTAGGCAAGTCAGTGCTCCTTAAATCATGAAAAGAGACTTAATTTGGGAATGGCTGGTGGAATGTTTGTGTCAATGCCACTTTACTCTAGGTTCCCAGAGACTTCCTCCTTAAGCAATGGAGAGGGACAGACACAGGTTCCTCTAAAATGTGATTCACAGCACCTAAGTTAAGATTTTGCTTTGAATTTTTTTCAGGATTCCTTCTCCAGAAACTACAGAGGGGACCAACTATAAATTCCTGCACCTAAATGGGGTACAAACATCATTTTAAGGCTCCTCTGCTGATTTGGGACCTACTGTACTAATTAGCAGGGGATGCAATGACTGTATTCTACCCTCATCCTGCAGTGCAGAACACTCCCCTGATCAATTTGGAAGTCCAGTACTACAGATGATGGACTTGGAGCATTTTCACAATATTAATAATTTTACATCTATATATGTGTATCTGTACTTGCATCTGTTTAGAAGAATCAAAAAAATCTCCAAACAAAAGAACCAGAAATGTCCCTGGACCATTCAAGCTGCCTTTTGGTGGTTTACCCTTTCTCCAGCTCTCGCATGTCTGCAGAACCAAACACAATATTTCATTCTACCATGTTGCGCATTAGATTAAAATAACATTAGTAAATTAAGATTCCTCAAATTCATAAGATATTGGTAAGACCAAAGGTCCAAGGCACAGCAATTTTGCCATTTCATACAGCTTGTATGGATAAATATATTAAATAACAGATAGACAGATAGATAGACAGATGTGTATGTTTGTGCGTAGATAGATACAGCTATCGCTACAGAGATATAACTGCAAAAAAAGTATATAAAACCTACATGTATCTGGCATGAAGTGTAAGATTAGTTTAAGGCTACAGGAAGACAGTGATACATTGCAACTTCTGTTCTGACTTACCATCTTCATCAGTCAGTATACGCAGAGGTGCACTTCGACGGCCCTCCCCCATTGTAGTACTAGCAGACACTTCTACAGTATATTCTGTATATTTCTTTAAATCTAAACAAAGAAAAAAGAATTCAGTAAACCAACCATCCAGTGGTCCAAATTAGGTTTTTTAATGGACCATAATTAGTTCTGAAAAGCTGAATAGGCCCATCACTTACACTGATCTGTGTCTTTAGAGACTGAAAAAAAGTATCAGGAAAACTTGAACACAAAGTATTCTCCGCTAACAAAAGAAGGGTCAAAGACCTAATTACCAGTTTATACTTCACATTCCTTGAATGCTTTACAGTTTGTCCTTGGCTGTACTCTGAAAATTTAGGTAAAGGTGCTGAGCTCCCAGCATTAACTGCTGAGTCATGCCTCAGTAATAATGACAGAACATAGAAAAAAATGCAAAGGTGAGTGGAAAGGGAAGTATTCCTTTTTATCCAGAGTAAGATCAGAAAGACATGTAGGTGATGCCAGTATTTACTTTGTTACGATGACAGATACGCAAAGAAATCTACTGAAGTTCCTTGTGCTTTAAACATCTAAAATGCAATGAGATTTATGTTAGACTCTATACTGCTCACAGCCCATTCCACCACATCACTGTAGGACACAGCAGCTACTTCTCAGGACAGGAAGCATAAAAATTTACGTAAGGACAAGAAGGATCATGTCCAATCAATGCACTAATTGATCTGCATCAGTCTGCTGATCCCATCTCAGAACAGTTTACAGTTGCCATAAGTTCAAGATCATTATATACTGGCCTGTAATACATAGCGTCAGAAGAGTAGTGTTTATGACTCTTTGCTCAGTTCCATTAGTCCTCTTGAGATATATCGTGTAGGTCTGAATTATTCCATTGGGAATTAATGGTGGAAAAAATGATAATTCAATTTCCGTGGATGAGATGTTCCTATAGGTTATGTTTTCTGGTGCAGAATCAGGAACTAGGAGACAAAATTTAGACTTACAGAAGATTCCAGTCAGTTTCATTGATTTGTTAAGCATTTTCTTAAACTGGTTTAAATGTAACACATGGTAAACATATTGATTTTTATCCTCTTTTTGTACAAAATAAATTTTAAAAGAGGCTGAAATGGAAGATCACATGACAGACACACACTCTAACTAACAAGGTACGGGTCACTCTTTAAAAAATAAAATTATGGAAATCACCTTAATATGTCAGATAAAAAATATGGAGCATGATGCTAAATTTTCCTTCTAACACCCCATAACTATCACTGTAATCCTCCAAGTTAGCTATCGTTAGGAGATTTTCCACGTTGTACTGCCATAATTTATACGTTGTATTAGTAACCTGCATTGTCCTCCTTTTCCCTGAGTGATCCATACAAACTGTATGATTACTTGTACAGAAAAACAAAGGGAGCCTAATATATTGCTGTAAGGGCCCTGAGAGCATCCCCTCTCCCAGAGGTTTGGCTGCGGGGGCTCAGGGTCAGCTTAGCAATAGCGTAGCTGAGGGCTGCCTCCTCCTCGCTGGTGACACGCTCCCAGGCAATGCTGCAGTGAGGCGGCATGCAGCCAGGGTTGACCACTGGCCTCTGGGAGCTGCTTTCAGCTGGGGCTCTCATGCTTTGTCCCTGTCTGAGTACAACTCCTGTTGCATCGCTGCCATGGCTTCCAGCCTGGCATCACAGCCTGACCTCAGCTGGGCCCCATCTCTACAGACCTGCCCAGCCGTCACCGAGCTGTGTCAGACTTGGTTAGTGTCATTGATCCTGCTAATTCACTTTCCTGGCTCGACCTCAGACCTGCCTCATCACTGTGGAGTATTTTGCAATCTGGACTCTGAGCTGCCCCTGACTTGCTCCCTTCACTGGCGGTTGGTGGGACAAGTCCTGGCTAGTGAGGCCCCTGCCCTGCTGGCCCAGGGACCCCCACAGCTCTTGGCTCCCTGTCCCTTACGGAACAGCTGGCTCTTGCTGCATCATGACAACTGGGGTTTTTGTTCATGGTGGAACAGTAACAGAGAACTCCCAAGAGCCCTTGAAACGCATCAGCCCATTAATAGGCTGTGTTTCACTCAAAATGCTCTGTCCTCCAGATCCTCCCTTGTTTTTATTTTTCTCATCTCAGAAGATCTTTTTGCAGCTTCTCATCTCTATCACAGGCAGCTGGAATTCAAATTTTTGTTCTGCACATCAGGGGAGTTAGGCACTGAAAAAAGAGCTTCCTTAAAATACAACTTAGACAAAAGATGGATGTCTACGTTAAAGAGATCAATAAAAAGGTTATGACTAATGACACTGTATCAGTTGGGCAGGTGCCTACATATCTATAGTATCTGACCAAAAAGAAAATCCTCAAAAGTAGCACAATATCTTGGCAGAGCTAGTTTGGTGCTTCTATTATAACTACTGTTTCATGTGATCTAAAAGCTAGGTGTTTGTGCCCCTGTTCATAAGAGCTTGACTTGTTAGGCAGGCCTAGACCACAACTACTTCACACAGGAAAAATCAAGGTTAATTTCAGAAACAAGGAGGAGAAGGAGCTCATAGCGATTTCACTGTGTCTTAATAATCAAGGAGCCAGAGCATCTCCCTGTCCCTTCTGAGACACATTAGTATGTGCACATCTTTCTGTACTGAGAAAAATGTGATAAACAGAATGTCCTGGGTTAAGCTGAGACAGGGTTA